AGGTGTAGGATTCCAGGGCATGTCGGGAATTCCTAGGCTAATCTTTAACACGCTTTGCACTGCACAAGGCACATGCACTTACAGTTGTATGTGCCGCACAGCCCAGCATGCTCCTAACAAGAGGAGATTTCCATCTTGAGCAGGCATGGATGAGAATCAAGTCTTATGCTTGTAAGTTTACACATCCAATGACTGGACGAATTTTCCACAGACTAGCCTCTGGCTCCAAACATTTTTTTTTTTTAAGTTTATTTATTTTGAGAGAGAGAGAGAGAGAGAGAGAGAGAGCGCGAGCGTGTGCGCGAGTGGGGGAGGGGTAGAGAGAGAGAATCCCAAGCAGGCTCCATACCTTCCATGCAGAGCTCGACAAAGGGCTCAAACTCACGAACCATGAGATCATGACCCGAGCCGAAATTAAGAGTCAGATGCTTAACCGAGTGAGGCATCCAGGAGCCTCCCAAACATTCCAAATCTTGTCTCCCTTCCGTGCCTCCCCTCCTTCTAGTCAGCGTGGTGATCAGCATGGCCGGCAGCAAAGTGTCCTTCTGAAAGCCATCCTTTCTCCCCAGGAAGACCATCAATAACCCAGTAAACACCGAAGTGACAGCAAACCACACAAATACATCCTACCCACTCCAAATATGTCCCCAACTCGACTTCACCTTGGCCAAATCCCCAAAATGCCCACATCACCTCAGCACCACCCAACAGAAGAGGAAGTTGGAGTGGAGAGAGACCAGCTTTAAGCAACTGCAGCTACAGAATCTCACCCTTGCAAATTTTATAAAACCGTGGGCAGAGGCAGATTCACTGCCAAGGCCGGCCATCAGGACTTAGAAGGGGTCTTGGTGAGTGAGGGGCCTAGAGCTAAAACTTCATTTCAGTAGAAGTCCACCTTTAACATCTCCATCAAACCCTTCCTGCTCCTTATCCAACCTCCCTGCACCTGATGACCCTCCTTCCCACTTGCATGAGCGAACAGTACAGACAGCTTCCACCTGCCCGCCTGTGCACTGCGTCTTCTGGGCACCACTCTTGACTTACCCCTGCGTCCTACGCCCCCTACCTCTCCTGCTCTGATGGATCATTCCCTCAGCATAAACAGTACTTCTCTCCTGCCTCCACACCCACTCCATTACTGCTCCCTTCTCTGCTGTTAGTGCAGCAAAACCCTAGTGGGGCTTTCCAGCTTTTTCCCCGGTGGCAGGTCTCTGGCCGCTGGGTGCCCAGGCAGCACCCCCATGGACTCCCTTCTCTTTGAAATTCATCAGGATTCCCCTCTCTCTGGGTCTCCTCCTTCTGCTGGCAGCTTCTTCTCATCTCCCAGGACCTTGCAATACCACAATGTCCCTGGCACAGCCTCAGTCTACCTCCTTTCCTCCCTCAGTGACCAGGCTGGGACCTGAAGTACTGGCTGTGTGCCGAGGACTTACAAATGCTCATCTCTAGTCAGGATGTCTCCACTGAGCCCGCAGCTGTATACCGGGTGTCCCCTCCACATTTCCACCCGGACATCCAGTCTGTGGTGTCCACCCCACCGTGTTCCCACCAGAGTCCTTCATTAATGACACCTCTGGCCCTTCATTCTGGCCAGAGCCTTGAGGTCCTCCTGTCTCTCACCCACAGCCCATCTGTTGGCATCTCCTGTTTTCACTATTTTCAACCCAAGTTCACAATCTGACTTCTCGCCCCCTGAGTTCTGTGCCACCACCATCCACTGCCTGATATCAAGTAGCCTCCCTGGCCTCCCGCTTCCTCCCTTGCACACAGGCAGGGAGACTGTGTCCCCTGTGGCTTAAATCCTTGATGGTCCCCATCTCAGAGAAAAGCCCACAGGCCCTGTGCTTCTTAAGCCACTTTCCCCATTTTGTAGCATACATTTATCCTGTTCTTTTGTCCCATCCCCACAGCCAAAGTAGGCACTATTTTTGGTCACCAGTACCTGGAATTGGTGCCAAGCACATTCCAAGGGTTGAATGAGGGTCCCCACAGCCAGGGCTCCGAGCTGGAAGGGCCCCCGATGGGGCTCACAAGGTGTACACAAGCTTCTGCCTTTGGGACCTGTGTCCTGGTGACATCCCCTTTCCTTTTGGTCACTGTGTCACATGGAGCAGATCCCTCCCCTCCTAATCTGGGACCCTCTGCTCCCGACCTCCTTCTGCTGCCTGGTGGGCCAAAGACCACAGTTCCCCCTAACCTGGGGGTCAGCTGATTCTGACATCTGACCCTGTGGCCTGCCTGCTCCCAAACCTTCCAAAGCCCTGGCCCCCGCCCCGCCCCCCAACAAATCCACACTCCTCCCCACAACAGCTCAAGCCCTTCCCAGCCCTGGGAGATCAGAACAGGGCTGCCTGGAGATGGTGAGGTAGGGATGGAGTCCTAGGAACCACTGGACCAGCCAGCCTGGCCTCCCAAGTACCTAACAAGGGGTCATGCACAAACCTATTACCCACACGCATGAAACCAGAGACCCCAGTCTGGGGAGCATCTCACTTGCCACTTGCCAACAGCTTAATTGCCCAAACCCATGAGATCAGCCCCTAAAGCCCAGTGGCTACATGTGAGCCTGGCGGCTACGTGCCCCTTCCCAGCCAGGCCCTCTCTCGCACATCCTAAGGGTAAGCCATCAGTTTTATTTTGTATGTTCTTTGCCGAAGCCCACCAGTCTCCCCAACCTCTTGCTCCTGGCTTGCTATATCCATTTCAAAGTCCCTCCAGTGACTGATCGGAAACACCCTGACATGTAAACCTGGGGAACAGGATGCAAGTCAAGGGAAATGTGAAGTTCCGGGAATGTGCCAGGTGATTCAGGTTATGGGTCACTGGGACAGCACAGCAGAGATCCATGTAAGCCAGGCAGGCCTGGCTAGAATTAACCCCCAGTACACAGAGGGTGCTCAAAGAACAGGGGTAACTTGTCCCAAGGTGTGATTATGAGAAAGCCCAGAGGTAAAAATAAGTCATGGGCTGCGTATTGTGATGCACTAGCCACCTGCATCTTCTAAAACATCTCTGACCAGGAAATCGGCTTTCCACTTGGCATCACCAAGGACCTGAGCTTCTTGAAATCCACTTTTGGGGAATGCTGGACAGGCTGGCTTCTGAGAACCCAGCATCCTGACCTCCCTGGGAGAGCTGGTCCCTTCTGTCAGTTTTTAAACTTAAGGAAAAAAAAAAAAAATCAACGTTGCACATGTGTATAGTCCTAGAAATAGAAAATATAAGGCTTGCTGAATTCCCATCCTCCACCCCCACAGAAAACCACTAAACTTCCAGCGTTTTCTTCTGCATTTACCTCCACATTAAAAAAAAATTTTTTTTTACTGTTTATTTTTGAGAGAGAGAGAGAGAGAGAGAGAGAGAGAGAGAGAGAGAGAGAGATATCAGGGGGAGGGGTAGAGAGAGGGAGACACAGAATCCAAAGCAGTCTCCAGGCTGAGCTGTCAGCAGAGCCTCACACAGAGCTTGAACTCATAAACCAGGAGATCATGACCTGAGCCGGTCAGATGTTCAATCTACTGAGCCACCCAAGCGCCTATACCTCCACATTTCTAAATAACATGCTCACATTGCTCTCTTGACTTTCCAGTTTACACATTATTTAACTTCCCACTAAGGACGATGAGAACGTAGCCCCATTATACTCTATATATACGCATGCACGTACTCTGGTCTCCGAAGAGTTCTGTCACCAGTTTTTGCCAGAGCAACATTCATCATTATTTATAACAATCACAGCTGAGTCATGTAAGGTCTCTGGGCTCCTCTTAATATTTTTTGTGTGGCATTAATAAATGATCTATTTTAATTTGCTTACTTTTCTATCTATGAGATTCATGCCCAAACCCTGGGACAGAGGCGTGGATCAAGTGTGGACCCTCTGAGACCCATGAGACTCTCACTGCCCACACCACCCACAGCTGGCTGCATCCCCCGTGACATCCCTTCCCAGTCCTCTCCTGAGTTTCCAGGCCTCCACGTTTTTCTCTTCTTATTCCTCTTCTTCTGGAGCCCTCCTTTAGGCAGGTTTGAGAATGGCTGTAAAGGAGATACGTTTTTGAGACAGCTGCAGAATTTTCCCGGGTATTTCTGTTGCTCTGCTGACTGCTGGGGTGCTCTCAGTTCGCTCCTTCTTTGGAGCCAGAGGGCTCTCTCAGTTTGCCTTGAGGACCACGTCCCACCCCCAATCTGCCTGCGGGGTGGGGGTGGGCTTCCTGCTCCTGTTCCTTGCTGTGGCTTCTTTCCAGAGCCATCTCTTCTGGCTGTGGGCTCCTGCTGGCAGAAACAAAACCTCCCAGATCAACAGGAGGTGCTAACCAGGGACAGAGGTGCATTTAGCGGGTTCCAAGGCCACCACACTCCTGTGCTCTTTGCACACATCTGCCTGTTCCCCTCCACCATACACCTCTAATTTCCTCTCAGGATTTCTCATCATCTTCATGGCAACTGTGTGGTCAAATATTCTGCCCTAAAGGTGGGAAGGAGGGATGCTACTCTCCTGCCACATTTTCAAACACCTGAAGATGTATCGAATGCCTCCTCCACACCAGAGTTGGATCCTCCCATGGGTGGGATCTGGGTCTCTGAGATGCTGCCCCTCCCCGCCCCCCAGGACCCAGGCACCCCTAAGGCAGGCACAACTGAGGGACTCCCTCAGGGCTGGTGTTTATTTCTTCCTATCTCCCCTACATGGGTGACCTCCTTGCTGCCAGCAAAGACTTGGCCCAGCAGGCACACCTTCATCCAGGGTCAGCCCGGGGGGCTCCCAAGGCACAACCCGCCAACAGAAACAAGGAGAGCAACTGTTTAGCCTGGACGTGTGACCCCCCCCCCCCCCCCCCCCCCACACACACACAGAGAGAATGGAGGGGATGCTGCACACAAGAGCCACCTCCTCCCTCATCTCTTCCTAGCTCCGGCCAGGGAGACACTGTACCGTTTTCTGGTTATACAGGTAGCACTTCGGAGAACTGGCGAAACAGAGAAATCCAAACTTTCATACGATTGGTTTAATTTTTTTTCAGCAGGAGAAAAAAGAATAAAGTTACAAGATTCTTTTAATATTTTCACAATGTTAAAACTAAAACTGAGCTCTAGGCTATGTGTGTAAGTAAATCTAAAACACAAAAGGGTTAAATAAGATCTTCTCTTTTAAAGATACAAGAATTTAAGCTTTCCTTACATTTAACAAACTTCACAGAACAGATACTGCAGGGGAACAAGCCCTCCCCCCACCCCCAGCTCTACCATCAGGAAGTGAACATGGGCTGCGAGCCCTGTGTGCCACCAGGCTCCCCAGAGAGCCTGCCTCCCATCCCTGCCTCGAAGCAGCAGCGGTGGGGCCTGAGGAGGGCCGGAAGGGCGCGTGGGTGGCCTCTTCGGGATCAGAGCTTGGCGGGGGGGCCTAGGTGGCCGCCTCACTGAGGATGGCCATGTACTGGCCAGAGGGCCGTGGCTTGACAACAGTGGTAAACGCGGGCAGACCTGGCCCCTCTGCCCTGGGCTGCCTTAGAGCAAGACACCAGTCTGGGTCCTGAAGCAAGAATAAGGCTGGAGATTTTGCAGCGGATTCCACTCTGGTGGGGGTGGGATGGAAGGAAGAGGCTGGGAAGAGCATGATTTCCTATTTCAGTATTCCGGATCAAAACCACTTGTAGTTGCAGGTGTGTAGCTGTGAACTGCAGACAGAGTCGAGCTGCTTGTTGTGGTATAAAAGGGAAAGTTTGCTGGGTTAACTATTCCAGTAGCCTGTGTGTGGGCAGATCCAAGCCGCCTCTGCAGGAGCCTCCGACTCTCACCAGCCTGGACCAGATGGGGTCTCTGGGCCACTCAACCCTGTTCAGGCTTAAGGCAGGAATCTTAATCCTGTCCACCCTCCCCGCCCCCACCCGACCGGTGATGATTCCCTAACACGGGCAAACAGGCCCAGAGCCACCCTCCCCACCTGGCCTGAGCTATCGTGGCTACTGACTCCTTTCTGCACGCATGAAGAGGGACAGGCTGATAAATGTGCCCTCCCACCCCACTGCCAGAGCAAAGGTCTCTCAGAGCCGGGCCGGGCCACGAACCACTGTTCTAGACAGATCAACCCACAGCTCCTCTGGCGTATGCTGCCTGTCCGTCCTAAACCTATGTGGTAGAGGTTGTCCCTGGACTACAGAGCTGCACAGACACAAGGGGCGAGGCCATGGCACCATCCTCTCGGCCCACAGAGGGCTGAGTGGGTGCCACTGGAAGGGGCAGAGTCTGTGGACAGCAGCTTCCCAGACGCTCCCCAGCACTCCTACTGATTCCCGTTGGCCATGAAATGTCTTTTTAAAAAATCCCAATATAGAAATTTAGCTGCAGAGGCCAGTTTGTAGATCCCAGCCGCAGCTGCTGTGCTGTAATTAGCCTTATTTGATCAATTGCCAGATCCCTGCACTTGGCAAATGGCAAACCAGAGCCAGTGGGGTCAGGGTGCGCCCTGGCTGCTTCTCACGACCGTGGGTCCTGTGTAGAAAAGATGGGTCTTGTACATGGACTAGTCTTGAATGGAACTAATTTTCAAAGTGAGGTTATTGTTTCTCTTCTCCTGTGATGAGAGAGTTTTTTCATAGCAAGTCAGGTAAAAAAATTTTCCTAAGAACCTGCCCCCCCACCCCCATTTCCAGCTCTGTGGGAGAGCAAAGCCACCACCCAGCCCAGCCACGTGGCCAATCTCAACAGCCTCCTGTGGCCAAGGCACGCGTGGCCATCAGGTATCCTGGCTACTGGGACTAAGGATAAGTGAAGAGGTGAAAGGCCGAACATTAACCAGAGTTTCTGGCAAAGCCATGTGCGTCATGGGAACTGTAACACCAGCTTCTACTCCTCTATTAACTCAGAGTCTCCGTCTGGAACACTTTCCGCTTAAGGCTTTTTATAAGTTTGACTCCAGCAGTGACAGGTATGTGTTGTTTTAAATCCACTAGCCATGCTCAAAAAAAAATATTCTTCACGTTTTAATTTTATACAATGGCTAGCAGGCACCTTAGTAACCAGCCAGAAATCAATTTCAACCACCATCAACCCCTAAACTACAGTACCAGGATGGCTGGCTAAAGAAAGGAAACGGACTGGCTGTAGTCTGACGCGTGCCCAGTACAAGGTGTCTGGCTGACTTTGTCCTAAATAAGGCTAACATTAGTGAACTAAGAACAGCGTCATGTGGCGGCCATGCCTGGCCTTCAGGAGCACCCCTCCCCAATGCGCTGGCAGGAGCGCCCCACTTTCCGGTCCAGTTTCACCATTTTCATGATGGCTTCCTCTCGGCCGCGGCCCATGTGGTCAAATGTACAGTCATGCTGCTCGGGGAGGCGATGTAACATACAGAACACATAACCTGCAACAGTGGGAGAAGCAAAGAAAACAGACTGTTAGGTGGGCCTCCAAATGTCCAAACCCCAGCTTTCGTCCTGGCCTGGAGGATGGAGGGGCATATCAGTGAGCAGACAGTGGCGCACAGCAGGCACTCCTGCCACCGGAGAGAGTTTACACAGCGGCCGCCTGGGAGGAAGGGGCCTTTACCACAGCTCTTCCTCCAGGACCTCAGAAGGCCAGTGACTTCTCAGCTGCTGCAGTGAGACACGCCGCCCCCTTCCCGGTGGGGGTGGGGGGGTCTGAGCCCCTCCCTCCCCACCAAACAGGCGGGAGGGCAGAAAGCTGCCAGCTCAGCACCTTCCCAGCTTGGGCAAACTGTAACAGCCACAGGACACCCACCATTTCTAAGAGGCAGAGACGGAGCAGAAATGATTATGGCTTAAATTACATCCTGTACAGTGAGGGCTTAGGGGGGACAGTGGGTGTGATCAAACCACAGCCCACAAGTGAGCGGAGACTCTCAAAGAAAAGGGGATTATTTCGAGTGCCAGAAAAGGTATTACATATAAATAGGGGAAAGAACAGAAATGTTGAGCTCTAATCGCCAGCCATCTCAAAGGAGCCTGAGGCTTCTAACTCCACCTGGTAGGTAGGAGGTTACAAGACTGCTCCCTCTTCCTGGAGCAGAGAAATCAAGGGAAACACTGATGAGCCTGGCAGAACAAAGGACTGAGGAGAGGCCAACAGAGCAAGGAGATGGTTCAGGTGAAGGCCCTCTGGTAGGAAATAATAAGAGGTGGCCCTCAGGCAGTCAGCAGGAGGCTCAGAGGACAAAGGTAACACAGAGCTGCCAAGGATGTGGCCTGTTCCCTCCCCATTCTGCTCCATTTCTAGAACTGCTGATGTCCCCAAGGTCTGTCTGGCCCTCTCTGTCAGGGAGGGGGAGGGAAAGATCCAGGCTGGGAAGCCACCTGCCAGTGCTGGCTGGCCCATCGCCCCCACTCATCCCATCAGTCATATGTGGCCACAGGCCTAGACCAGGTCCACAGGACCGACCTGTAGGCGAATCTTCCCTAAACCTCTTCTCCCTGTGTGCGCAGGCAGGCATCCCACAACAGCCCCGCCAGGCCAAGGCTCTCCTCGCAACCACCACCTCTTCCCAGAGATTTCTTTTGCGCCCAGATCTCACTGCTCAGAGCGAACGGCCAGCCACTCCCTTCATCCATCTCCACAGCCTCCATTTCTTTTCTTTTCACAGAAGAATAACATTGGTTGAAGCAAAGACTGAGTGGCCAGGACAGGCGACAGTTTCAACAGCCTAACCTGTAAGGCTAACTTCATCTAGAGAACACTCCTCAACTGACCCTCACAGCCCTGCTCTGATGCCCTAAAGCCCATGCTGTGCATAGAGCACGTACACAGGGCCCAAGAGCCTGGGTGACCAGGCTGACTGGACCATCCGCTGTGAGAGAAAACACATTATTAACTGCTTCCCAGGGAGAGCAGGGCAATATGTTTGACTCTAAATTGGGACTGGGTTTAAGGAAAAGAACAGAGATGAAATTTTTGTCTCCTGAGAAGCCGAGTTCCCACTTGGTCCAAAAGCAAAGTTAAGATTAATGAGCTCATGTGTTATATTTACTGATAAGTTCATTACTCGAAGATATTGGATAGTGTTGTCTTTGTCCTAAAGGACTTCCCAGCCTAAGTGTGGATGGCCTCAATATACATCCTCCATCTAACCAGCACAGCTGTCCTTTGGGGCAAGCCTACCTGTGGGGAGAAGGGCTCTGATGGGGCGCTGGCAGCCTGGCACCATGACATGCTGGTAGGCATTTTCTGCCACCAAGTCCTGACATACTTCTGGAACTTCGACATCTATAAAAAGGGCGGGAGAACCCCCACTGCCCCCTTCCCTCCTTGTTTTCAAGATACTGAGATGATGTAGGAGAAGGTCCCAGGGGCTCTTCTCTGCTTCTGATGAATGGTGCCGACTGAATCAAAGTAGCAGGAAATGGATTACCTCTGAAATTAACTGAGCCCTGGCTCAGCCTAACACCTCATTAGTCAAAGGCAGAGTGGGGCAGAAGGGAGAGGCTCCAGCCTTGTCCTCACTACACACCCCGCACAACTTTGCTTAGCTTGCCTTCCCCTGGCTACAGAGCAGCCCCCCTCAGGGATCTGAGAGCCCCAGGCTCCGTGTGGAAAAGGAAACAGGGCGTGACAACCACAACAGCTGCCTGATGCTCTCTCTACACACCCGAGGATTCTCCATCCAGCCAGAAACACCTCATTTCTCCCTCCGAGTTCTGTGTACCTCTGTCAGACACAACTTGACACTTGGCTTTGATTTCTGTAAGGTAAAAACCACTACACAGCAGCTACACTTGGGTGTAGCACGGGTAACAATTAGAATATATGGCATTGTAATTCACTGGGGAAGAGTGTCTGGGCAAATTCTAGAAGGCTAGCTTCCCAACTTGCTGTACTGAGGTTAGTAGCTGGAATAAAGTCAATCCCCTCTCCTGTCAGGGTCACTCACCAAAAGGAAGTTACATGCTGAAACTTGTCCCAAATGCTGAGCAGGTATGATCCACTGACAGCAGCCAATCGGCTAAATGCATTTTGGTGTCAGTATTCGGGAATGGGTTGCTCTGGATACAGACGGGGGTGGTGGGGGGCGGGAATGACCCGTGGGTAGACGAATCTCTATCCTCTTTTCTTGGTACCCACAGATCTGTTTCCAGAAACTATTGCAAGTGTCATGAACTTTCAATTATTCTCTGATTGAATTCTTTAAACAGAGCTGGGTATGGAGAAATGAGTTCAGGCTGCTAGGGAAGATGATTGTTCTTAATTTCAGTGATGAATACAGTTTAAAAGCACAAGGGGATTTACAGCCTCTGTCTACATCCTCCACAGTGTTCATTAGAAACCAATTAGGGCCTTTCCAGAGAGGGTCAACCAAGGCAGTGTCCGAAGGGATGAAAGCACAGAGGACAATGAATTGATCAGCTGAGCTGCAATATGGGTTTGGTATCATCACCAGAGGATTACACAATTCTTTTCTCCCCTAATTTAAAAAAGTTATATATCAAAACTGAATTCACTCATTAATTTGCATACATACAACCAATCCATACCTACACTCTCGTCATGGCCCCCATAGTTCAGCATCATGTACTTTAAAAAAAGATTCAATATATGTTTGCCTATAAGAGCTACATACCACATGGTACTCTGGCAGGATGAGGATGGATCAGGGTAGGAGAATATGATTAAAAGGACGCTGATTCCCAAAAGAGAATGAAAACACCCAAAGCCAAAGTTTTTGAAAATATGACATGCCTGCTAAATGTGGTTTAACCTCAGCCCTTGCCCCTCTGGTGTCACATAACTGGCTGCCCTGCTCCCGAGAGGCCCGGATTCCTGGTTTTCCATGAAATACTGGCGTAGGAGGAAGCTGCAGAGCTCCTATAGGCTGCTGGGGTTGTTTTCAGTACATCTGCACGAAACACTCAAGAATTTGTGTGGGTGTTTCTTCACTAGCTGGCACTGAAGAACAATTTGGGATGAGCCCTTGATTAAAAAGGGAGGGTGAAGCAGCAACTCTGTGTGCACTTTGTTCCATGCCCCACCCCCTGCCCCTCCCTGGCTTCTGGCCGCCCATCCCTCACGCAGGAAGAGGAAGAGGAGGCCCCCACAGCAGGTGATACCAGTCAGCCCCCTCCCAGTGAGCTGAGCTGGAAGGTCTCCAGCAGCTACATCCTCAGTTTGAAAAAACCTTCTTTAACTAAGCAGGCAGCATCAGGAGGGAAGAGGATGACTGTGTAGATGGTCACAGGGCTGACCTACTCAGGCTCATCCCAGTGCCCTGCCCAAGCCTGTGGCTATGGACAGCAAGAGGTGGGGGGATACCAGAAGCTTCCCTAACTCTATCACTCAGAGATACAAGAAAGGGTTTTTCCCTCACATGGCATGAGAAATACAGAAGGCAGCATTCAAGTCACTGGCCCTCAACAGAGAAGCCTGGGGGCATTCTTGTAGGACAGGTATTTTAATGGAAACCACTCATCTGGACTCAGCCCTCCTGATGTGGGCCTGGGGCCTGGGGCACCCATGACCATATGCCATATCAACCTAAAGATGGTCAACACCCAATGGCCCTGAAAATACATTCCCAGCACAAAATGGAACTAAGGCTCATTCTTCTAAGACTCGAAAAGGTCTGAAAGTGCATGTTTCTAAAAATGCTCATTTGGTGGGAACCAAACTTCTGACTCTTTAGCTTTTAAAGTTAATGTCTGGAAGCCATACAATTCATTCTGATGCCTTCATCCACAGTTAAACTTCACATCTCCTTACACGGGTGCGTGCGTGTGTGTGTGGGGGGGGGGTGTATTTTGAGACTAAACACACAGGATAGAGAATAATTTGTACAAATGCCATCATCAAACACAGATGACACCCAACACCTTGCTCTAAGTGCTATGAAAGTTTTAACACTGTTTTCTGTTTCACTAACTTGTTTACAAAAATCCGCAACTATCACTGCCCAAGAGGAACACTGGGAAGAAGCCTTACCAAAGACCTGAGAAGAAAGGGTCTGTGTCCTTTACCTCTCAGTAGTGCTGGTAGGCAAGGCCCTGAGGGCACTAGAACCAGATAACTGCCTCACCTACCAGTTCCATCCCTCCACTGCTCCCTCACCCACAAGCCATGGGAAATGGCTAAGGTACTGGGGGCAGGGAGATGGGAGGAGGAGGAGCTGGGGGGCAGAAGGAGGGAGCCAACCTTACACTCTGTAGGCAGCAGGCAGCATAGCCCTTAACCTCTGGCTGAGGCCCTGGGCTCCTCCCCCCCACAGCCAGCACTTCCCTCCAAACCCTAAGAATTAAGCAGGGGCTGGAACTTTATCCATGGAATTTCCTAAGGGAGGCAAAGAAAGTGATGCCAAAATCCACATTCCAAGTCTCAGCCCTTGACATTTTTATTCAATCTCTGTCAGACAGAAATGCTGCT